TTTTCGGAAATGACTGTAGTGATTCATTGATATTATTGCATCAAAATATAGCTGGTATATTGAGCAAATGTGACATATTTCAGATTGCATTAAACGAGTTTTCTGAAAACGGGCAAGAAATAGAGATAATATGCTTTAGTGAAACTTTTCTGAAATCAGGAGAGGAAAGAAACCTCCATATAAGTCACTTCTGCCTAGCTGATTATTATAGTAGATCTAGGATCCGACGGGGTGGCGTATGCATCTTATGCAAAGATTACTATAGATTCAGGAAAATTCCATTTGTAAAGGAACTAGCTATTGAAGAATCGTTTGAATGTTGTGGCATTGAAATTACTCAGATAAAATGCATAGTTATCTGTCTTTATCGAATACCAACATCGAACCCTAATATTTTTCTTAACCGTTTTGAGACATTGCTGTCAAAATTAAGGTATAGGAGAAATACAAACATTATAATTGCTGGTGTTGCGGGTGCGGTGGACTCGTTCTCGGTACCCCCTTTTGAGTAACTCGTCCGCTCCGTCGTGCCGCTCGAAGAGGTGCGGGTTCGTGTTCGTGGTGGCTTGGTAGGTAGAGGAGGTGCCTCCTCTACGCGATCATCTAGGTTGCCTCGCTCCTAGGATTCGTCAATAAAACGATGCTTCTCGTATTCTATACATGTTTAATTCCCCTCAGTATTATTATATTACATGTACATATGGCGCCTCACCGATTATTATTATTCGTATTACATTTGTAAGCACTATTACACCTTTTAGTTACATCAGATCATCGATCTCACTTATTATATATTAAGTATGGCGCGCGACGCGATATATTGTAATTATTACTAACTAATTCGGCTGCAACGCCGTGCGTGACCGTGCTCTAAGACGGCTTGGGTGAGACTACTTTTAAATCCTGAGAGCGGCGCTGCGTGCGCCCGCGTCGTATAGGGATGTGCCCGTTTCACATGAACATTCCTCCGGGCCTAAGGGCGGGGTTGGAAAACCTCCTCTAAAGGTAACATAACAAACATAATATACTTAATCTTCTAAAGATAACTTAACCAATTTAATTACTGGTCTAACCAATTCACGAGTATTCTCATGAATTATTCTCATCCTTGATGAAAACGATATCATTAATAGATAAATTAATGGAATCCTGATACCATTTGTTACGCGATTGCAGAGTACTGAGGTACTCTAAATGCCAACGTGCCCACACGTTCTGGTGCAGCTTCTGCAGCATCTGAAACCGAGATAAACGTGACATATTAGTTTCTGACCAATTGTACTCAGGCACTGCTATCAGTGGCTGTCCAATGAGAAAGTGTCCTGGCGTCAAGATTTCCAAATCCCCTGGATCTTCAGACATTTCTACAAGAGGTCTGGAATTTAAAATGGCTTCGACCTTGCATAGAAGCGTTGACAGCTCCTCATACGTGAGTATGGTATCACCAATTTCCCGTTGAAGAGAGAACCTCTTGATTCTTAACACTCTTAACTGCAGCTTCAAACAAACCACCCATATGTGGTGATGCAGGTGGGTTAAATTCCCAGTGAATATTTTGTTTCCTGAACTGCTTCTTCAGGATGTGTTGATTGTCCAACAGAAACTGGTTTATTTCCTTGAGATAGTTGTTTGCTCCAACGAAATTCGTCCCCCTGTCTGAACGAATTAGGGATGGGAGCCCGCGACGGCTCACAAATCTTGTAAATGCGGCTATAAATGCTTCAACCGACAAACTGGATACCAATTCAACATGAACAGCCCTTGTGGCTACACAAACGAAGACGCAAAAGTAGGCCTTTACCGACTTTGCATTTCTTAATAGACTAGATTTTACCAGATATGGTCCTGCGAAGTCTGTCGCGACTCCATCAAAGGGTCGAGCGCGTCGCACGCGATCCGCTGGAAGGTCTGCCATACGCGGGGGTTGTTCTGCAGCAGAAAACCTGAAGCATCTCGTACATCGTCGTACAGTCTTGGCCGCCTGTCGTCGGATCGAAGTAATCCAATATTCCCTGCGTAACATAGCAATTAAACCATTAGTTCCAACGTGACAGTAGGACCTATGACAATAGTCCATCAATAACTGTACAAATTTCGAATCTTTTGTTAATAATACCGGATGCCTCGCACCGTAATTTAAATTGGAATGCCTTAGTCGACCTCCAACTCTGATGACACTCTCGGCGTCTAAAAAGACACTTAACTTTTGAAGTGACGTCATGACTCTCTTCTGTTGTTTCAACAGGCCAATTTCCTTTGAATATTCCAAACCTTGTATTCTTTTTATCCAATATTTGACTGCGCCTCGCGTCTCATTTAGCGATAACACTTTAGTGTGAGGTCGCTCTGACTTATCTGCCTTCAGATTATGTATGTATCTCACCACATATGCTGTAGTGTTAATGAGTCGAGTAAAGCTGCTAACTCTGTTCAATAATTGTGTGTCCCATGGCTCTTCTCGAATAATGTTTATATTAACCGACTTCTTAAGCCCCGGTAAATTAGAGAGCTCTGCTCGTCTAACAAGCCTTCTAGGCCATTCAGCTTCATCTCGCTCCAGCCACGGAACATTCCACCACAATGAGTGATGAATCAACTCTTGAGCGGTCACACCTCGTGACGCACAATCTGCCGGATTTCTTTCCGACTTAACATGTCTCCAGGTGATCTTCCTTGGAGAGTTCTGTATATGCTGTACTCTGTTACATTCGAACGTCTGTAATAAATGTGGCTGCGTCTCCAACCAAGCTAAAACGATTGAGCTATCCGACCATGCATTTAAATTATTGATCTTAATTGATCTTTCATAACACTCCGCTACATGGTTAAGAAGTTGACACACTAAATGTGCTGCATTTAGTTCCAATTTCGGAATTGTCTGTCTCGTTTTCATAGGCGCTACCCTCGATTTCGCTATTACGAGACTAACCTTGACATTTCCCACTTCATCCTTGCTCCGAAGGTAAATAGATGCCGCATATCCTGATTCAGAAGCATCTCCGAACCCGTGAAGAGTATATGATACTGCATTTGATATTACGATACACCTCGGTATTTTCAGTGTCTCCAAGTGTAACAGATCCTGAATCATATCCTGGTATTGCTCTACAATTTCATCCGAAACAGCCTCGTCCCAGTGTAACCCATCCAGGAATATTTTCTGTAATAAATTCTTAAACCTTATTATTACTGGTGTGCAATAACCACACGGATCATATAACCTCGCTATAGTACTTAATATTGTACGCTTCGTTACGGCCCTGTTTACAGGTACATTCAGACAGTATGACATCGTGTCTGAAGTCGGTTCCCATTGTATTCCTAACACCTTTATGAAACTTCTTGAATCAGTAGTATTGAATTCCTTTGGTTGTTCACAATGATCCTCCGGGAGGTCTCTCAATAACCGGGAGTCGTTTGTAGACCACTTTCTAAGTTCGTAACCCGCGCTTCGCATTAGATTAATTAACTCTGCCTTCAAAGCTTCCGCTTCACTAATAGAGTCCGATCCAGTAAGAATGTCATCGACAAATACGTCGTGTCTTACGACCTCACTTGCCTTCGAGTTAGGATGCTGCTCCTCCCATTGTGTTGCCAGTTCCAACAATGTTCGTATTGCGATATACGGACTGGACCTTAGTCCATAGGTATTAGTATTTAACTCGTATACCTTAAGTTCCTGTGATGGATCGTTCCTCCATAGTATCAATTGGTACCTCCTGTCCTCTGGGTGGATCCAGGTCATCCGGAACATCTGCTTCACGTCCGTCGTGAATACAACTTGATGTCGTCTGAAATTCATTAGAATTTTGGTAATGTCATTCTGAAGTGCTTCACCTGAATGTAGGCATTGGTTTAATGAAACACCAGTAGTCGTTTTACAACTACCATCAAATACTACTCTGAGCTTATCAGAGTCCCTTTTAAATATACCGTGGTGCGGTATTACGTAATGTTCAGCGTCGAACTGAAATTTCGATATAGACATATGACCGAGTCTTTCATAGTCGTTCATGAATTCCTTGTATTTGGCTGCAAACACTGGATGTCGTTCCATTTTTCGTTCAAGCGCGTAGAATCTACGCGTCGCAGTATCCAATGAATTACCCAGTTCCGGTTTGTCAAATAATAAAGGTAAACGTACCATAAATTTTCCGTCTGGTTGCCTCACCGTAGTAGTTCCATATAACCTCTCACACTCTTTGTGGCGAGGGTCCATTGGTTTTTCGGTCGGTGGCTCCTCCGACGTCCAAAAGCGTTTGACGGCTTCAGTCAGCGTCATAGTGTTGACCGGCCGGTGGTCTGCAACCTCGTAGCCGTCCACTGGTCCCATGATGGCGTGCCCAAAACACGTTCCATAAGCTGCTGCGCCATCTGTTCCGATATTTACTTTAGTGCCATCGAAAATATAATTTAATACATCAGCTCCGAGTATCATATCTACCCCTTTTGGTAGAGAAAAATAGGTATCCGCTAGTCTCAGTGTGGGCGGTGCCCGCTTCAATATACCTTTTGGTGAAACCCCCTTCACCGGTAATTTTGCAGTGACTTCCTGCATGACTACTGCGACAGTGCTAATTATAGGAACTCGTTTATCTATTGGCCTAATAACTATATTAACCTTACTGGACGGTGTTTTCACCGTATTATTTCCTGTTCCGATTATTTCCATAGAGCTCTTCTGTCGGTGTAAGCGAAGCCGACTCACCAGAGTCTCTCTGATGGCGGAGACACTTGCTCCAGTATCTAAGAGTGCACGGGCCTCCTCGAAGTTGCCGTTTATATTCCTTATACCTAATGTCACGGTGGGGTTGAGACAGTTTCTAAAACCACAACCGACCGTGTATGCGTTCGCACCGACAGGAGCTAAACTTCAATATTTATATTCTTCCAACGGCTCCGGTTTCGGAAGAAAAGTAGGTCGTCCATACCTGAGTTCTTCGAACTGCCGTTGGGCCCGCTGGTACCTGGCGCCAACGGTTCTTGAGCCCGGTTCGAGCCTATAGTGCTGCGGCTCCTGCTCCGAAGTGCGCTGTTGCGTCGCCGACGCCCGGTCGTGCTCCACTGGACTGGTACGCCGTGGGGGTGTCCTCACACGTGGCGGTGTACTCAACCGCGGCGGTGTCCTGACCCGCGGCGGTGCTTGCGGATTCGTTTCCGCGTGGTGTACAGGCCTCGCCCGCACGTCTTGTGCGCTCCTTGCTACACTGTCTGCGCACAGGAGAGTATGACGCTGCTACGCGTCCACATCTGGCACCCTGGGTGCATTCCCGTGCGAAGTGTTGTCCCAAACAAACAAAGCAGACTCCGTTGTTGCGCACCCACGTTTTCCTCGCAGACACTACGAGTCGCTTAAAGCCGTAGCATCCGGTAATTGCGTGCCCCAAAACAGTACAGTAAATGCACCTTACCTCGCCCGCTGCGACGGTTATGTAGCCGTGAGCTTTGTTCGAGGGTGGTGACCGTCGGCCCCCAAATGGTGTCACCTTGCGCTGCGCAGTTGGCGACCTCCGTTGTCGCGTTGACATGGTCTCATCTTGTTTCGGACCCGGTGATGTGATAAGCTGACGCCGGCAAATCTCGTCGAGCAACTCCATCAGCGAGGAGAAGGTTGGTAGCTCCCCGGCGGTTGCCCCGCATCGCTCCTCGAACTGATTCCTGAGTCTCGCAGGCAGCTTCTGCATGACGAGAAACAATAATAAGTATGACCATTCTCCCACAGGGAGTCCCAGTTTCTTCAACGCCTGGGTTGATTCCAGCAACGGATTATAGAAGGTCTGACGTAAACCCTCTAACGATGTCGGCACCGTAGGCAGTGACACTATCTGCTCCAGATAGGTGTCAGCCAGCAACCTTGTATTTTGGTAGCGGTCCCTCAGAAGACCAAGAGCTACCTCGTAGTTAGCCGCGTCTACTGGTAGATGCTTTACCAGGGTTAATGCTTCACCCTTTAGGCAGCTGCGGAGGTAATAATGTTTCTCCGTCTCCGGCAGGTTAGGTCTGTCATGGACCAATGACAAAAACAGGTCATAAAAACTTACCCAATCCCTTGGATTACCACTGAACTGCCCCAACTCGATGAATGGCAGTTTGGCCGCGACGGTCTCTCGCGAGCTACTCGCTATCGGAAGCGGTGCTGACGGTCCCATTTCGAACTCGTCCACCCTGGTCTCGACAGCGACCAGCAACCCGTTGATGGCGGAGAATTCTGCGTTCAGCGCCTCGATGTCCTCTGCACCACTTGCGATAAGCACTTCATAAGCCTGGACAAACTCATTATAATATTTGTCAAACTGTCGTTTGACGACCCGGACAGCTATAGCTGACGTAGTGTCATCTATAGATTTCGCGAAATCGCGAAGCATCTTCGCCTTTACTGAAAAGTAGTTTCGCGCCGATCTAGGATCCATTTTCCTTTATATGAAAGCTAGATAAAAATAATAATGATAACGAATCAAAATACTCCCCCCGAAAAATACAAAAACCAAGGTTAAATTAGTACAAGATTAAATCTAGGACAATAATACGTAACGCGTCGTTGGTATCAGTACTTAAACTAAAACTTATTTTCTAACAAGATGCCTAACCGCTTCGATCGCAACAATGTAATTCTTTATATTAGGTACAACTACTAGCAATAATAAAATGCCAAACCGCTCCGATTACAACAATGCAACGTATACTTGTTGCTATAATTCTAACTAACAATATATTTTACTCCTATATCATTGTACCTAAACGTTCCGATTATACGTTTAATGTAAGCAAGCTTAATTAAAGTAAAAACAATCCAACCTTAAAATCAATTCCACAAATTCAAAGTTACCTACCTACCGTTTACAAATAATAATATTACGTTCGAACAATTGTCGATACTAGAATGTTCCATATGGTTGTGTTACACAATTATAGTTCTTATTAACTCACATTAATGTCTCTTATTGGGTGCCGCCTGCCGCAGGTTCACTTGCACTTTATTCACTAGTATTAAAGACCAATTTTCTCTGTATCGAGAATTCTAGAAACACCCACTCACTTGACCATATATGGTCATGTTTGTCCGATGCTAGGCCGGTTGCCGCGTCGACTCTTCAATAGGTATTCTTCGTACCTGAGATCCCGCCGCTCCGCGTGGATGATGAAAATGATGATTCAATGCTGCGCTACCTCGCGATGACCTAGGGCTCCGTTGCCCCTGCTGCTCCGCGTACTATGCACCCACGTGCACCACGTGTACGTCGCGATCTTCGCCGCGTCGTATGTACCTACCTTAGGTACTTTATTCCTTCCGTTCCAAAAGTAACGTTACCAACGTACTCCAAAACGTAGGTTCCCCTCATGGGCCACCAAAAATGTTGCGGGTGCGGTGGACTCGTTCTCGGTACCCCCTTTTGAGTAACTCGTCCGCTCGTGCGTCGTGCCGCTCGAAGAGGTGCGGGTTCGTGTTCGTGGTGGCTTGGTAGGTAGAGGAGGTGCCTCCTCTACGCGATCATCTAGGTTGCCTCGCTCCTAGGATTCGTCAATAAAACGATGCTTCTCGTATTCTATACATGTTTGATTCCCCTCAGTATTATTATATTACATGTACATATGGCGCCTCACCGATTATTATTATTCGTATTACATTTGTAAGCACTATTACACCTTTTAGTTACATCAGATCGTCGATCTCACTTATTATATATTAAGTATGGCGCGCGACGCGATATATTGTAATTATTACTAACTAATTCGGCTGCAACGCCGTGCGTGACCGTGCTCTAAGACGGCTTGGGTGAGACTACCAGGCCCTACAATCTCAGTACAAGAGTCCTTTACCAAGCGGTAAAAATACCCTGATATGTAAAGATGGTGTATATTATCATACACAAACTAGAGAAAAGGGTTACATTATAATTTAATAGTATTTAATTGGGTTAATGCTCGTCAGATTCACAGATGGCGAGGGTGTGCATTAGCAACTCGACAAAATTGAAAAGTGTAGGATAATATACTGTATGCGATATCAAGTTGTACTTCATAATTTAATGTCATTATTTACGCCAACTGACATTAAATTTATTGCCATACTTAAGCATAAAAACCTAGATAGTAGATACAAATATGAAACATAGAAAAAGAATATGGCGTGATTTCCCATTATTGAACTATTTTCTTTGGGTCGAGTTTTGTTGTAATCATATTGTAATCTATATAACGTAATTTTTTTTTTAAAACTCAAAATAATTAATTTTTCATTCTTTGCAAGAATATGACACTCATACTACTGGTAACACTTGGTTTCCAACAATCACCAAAACAAACATGGCCACTGTTATGTTGTTTGGGTGATTGCTTGTGCGTCTTTTTGTCCTCAAGTTCCAGAGTTAGTTATTTAATCGTTTTGTCGTTTTCCGCCGAGTTTGTTGAGTTGAGTAATTCCTCTGGCTCGGCCAAAATACGTTACAATTATTTTGTTATATGTGTGTTACGAGATAAGACTAAGTTTTGTGTGAGACAGGACTCCTTAGTGTTAGTTAAATTTATCGTTGTGCATCTTGCAAGTTTATTATTCGAGATGTCCAAACATTATTGCTGTGTTCCCGGATGCTCAAATAGTGAAGGTAAGATAAGATACCCAATTTGAGGTTGACTAATCTTTTTACTACTTACAACTTATTTCAATGTTGTGTAAATTTTCTTTTAAAAAGGTTCACAACGTTCTACACTGCATTTGTTTCCTAACCCGGAGAAAGACCCGGATCGTTTTAGATCATGGGTGCTCGCTATTGGTGGAGATATTTTAGGCCTAGACAATGACTGGATTTTTAAAAACCGCAGAGTCTGTCATCGTCATTTTGATGAAAAATATTGCTATTCACTAAAACTCAGCAGAACTGCAATACCAACAAAAAAGTTACCAGGTAAATTTTCAAATTTAAGCACAGTTGACTTATAGTATTTCTTTTATCTGCAACCACATTATCACATAATGACATTTCCTTCAAAATTTTAATAAAACTGATGGCAAATTTCATTACCCCAACTCTTCATAAGAGTGTCATAAGAGAATGAGGATGTACATACCTACTGTTTGTTACTCTTTCACAAAAATCAATGACAGATTTTTTATGAAATTTTGTATGGATACTTCAAAGTGTGAATTAACATATAGGCTACATTTTATCTCACTAAATAGTTCCCTAAGGACCACACGGGCATAGCCGTTGGTGAAAGCTATTAGTATAATCAATTGAATCTTATGAAGGAATCACTTTCAGGACCATTGACAATATCCAATTTTCGAGTTAGTGGACAAGCCAAGAGCATGAGGGATATCATTAACATAGAAAGGCCATCAACTTCCAAAGGTATTTGTGATAACTATATTTTTAATAGTTGTTTATCAACATAGATTTAGAAATATTTTTTCCTTTTTTGTGTGTCTATGTGTTTCCAAGTGTATCAACAACACAGTGTTTTAACACTTAAAACTTGTAAAATATAATAAAACTGTATATATATTTCATTTCCATACACTTTAATTCAATCACATCTTAATAATATTTCAGCTGCTTATTCTCTCTATGATATGGATGTCGATATTGAACAAGAACAAGAAATGGAACAAAATTTTAATCCATCCAGTGACCAATCTGCTGATAAGGAAAATATTAGTAAGTAAATTATGATCACTATCATGCATCCGATTATATGAGAATACTGATGTTAATCAGTGGAAATGCTTTATTTAAATTGCAAGGTACTATGGCAATGTTCTTATGACATACTTTGGTATTAGTGATTAGTAAAATGAAAGTGTGTTTCCGTAAAGTCATAGTTTAAAAATGATATTGTCAACTCACCCATGCTGTTCCAAAGCATAGCTACAAAAGCTTACAGAAATTACCATGTTTTATTGAGAAAATAAGTTTTGGATTTTATAGCTCCCATAAGAAGCTATATATTAATATAACAATGACAGTGTTAGAGGGGTTGAAAATATACAATTATAATTTAATATGTGATAAAATATGTTTTATTGTCCATGAAGATTAATTTTCTAGATTTTTTTATTTTATTAAATATTGTTTTTCTTTCCAGGGCCCATTCTTAATACTTCATCTAAGATGGAAATTTCTGATTTTGTGTGTTTTCAAAAATCTTCTAGTCTACCCCATTTTCCAGGTAATATTTAAAGATAGTCAAATAATAAGGACCAGACTAATAACATGAATACAAAGTAGATTATCTTACAAACAACAGTATTAAGTTCATTGGTTGCTTGTTATTTATAGGTTATAAATAAAGAACCAAGGTGAATGCTGTACCATGTTATATGCTATGAGAGCAGTACCACCTAAATACAATGCCAAGATATAAAATCTTCATCCATTAAAGCCAATTAAATTTAATTCTGCTTTATTCAGTAATCCAGTGTATAGTCAGCTTTATTTTATCAGTTCCTTTTTTATCCATAATTTATCTTTGCAGGATCTGTTGACAATTTACCATCGCAGATTAATATTTTAGATATCGGGCATGGTAAAAAACCTGAGAAAAAATCAACTTTGTCAGGTAATATTACTTTTAAATCTATACTATTACAAAACAGGTGTGTCTGTACATATATGCTAATATTATTAAGAGGAAAGTTTTGATTGTTTATTTACATTGCATAGGCTGGACATACTTAAAAAAAAATTCATCTATTGGAAGTTACATTCTACGTCTACATCATATGAATGCAAGGTCATGTAAATTGGTTGTTGACCCCGTGAATAATATATGCTATTTGTACATGTATATGATAGACAAAATTATGAATTTCTTTTTACATTTTTTCAGATTCTCTAAAAAAGAGGTGTAAAAAACATCTAATCAACAGACAAGAACAGATTTTATATAACAAATTAAGAAGCCTTAAAATAAAATTGAGTAAAAGCCGTAGCCAAAACCATAAATTAAGTAAGTCATTTAAAATGGCTCAAAATCTTATCACAAACAAAAAATTCCATACAACTTTAGAAAAAATGAGCAGTGCTGGAAGCACATTTATTAAATTACAATTTCGGGAAGCCAAAAAAAAAGACCAGGGTCGTCGTTTCACTATAAAAGAAAAAATTATGGCTTTGTCAATCTATAAACAAAGTCCCAAGAGTTACAGATTTCTAAGAAAAATTATGCTTTTACCGGCTCCACAAACATTAGATAAAATGGTACGAAAGGCCACCATAACACCATTCTATGACGAAAAAGTCTTCGCACAATTGAAGAAAAAAGCATCAACTATTACGAATATTAATAATAAACTATGCATACTGCTATTCGATGAAGTGGCTTTACAACCCTACATCAGTTATAATATCAATCACGATAAAATAAATGGTCTTGTAGAGGAGAAAAATACTATTAAATTTGCAAATCATGC